CACCAGGACAGACTTTGCTTCAAAGAAATCATGGCATGTATTTTTGAACTCCATTATGACAGCAGGGGTAACATCCCTGCCTGTCAGTACAGGAGCCTTTCCACTTGTGGATTCGACAGAAGCAGTTGACGACATTTTTTGTGGAATGTATGTGCGTGATTCGTCACTAGAAGAGTTGGAGGACAGATGGAAGGAAGATGGATGCATATTATGAGTAGTTTGACATGTGTTCTGAGGACAAGTAGTCAGCACGAGACTGTCTAAAATCGGTAATTGACGGTTAACTGCAGTAGTGTGTGTAAAACATGGTGATACAGATAAATTGCGGGGGGACAATTGGTTGCAGGTGATAATGGTGAAGACAGAGGGGACAGCAGAGATGACAGCAGGGAAGTAGTTGGTACAGGCATGTGGCCCTCCACTACAAACAGTTACAGCTGCATATATGCGTTCAAAATTCAGTGATATGCACAATTGTGGTTATATGTGCATTGCCAAAAGTGATATGAGCATTTTGATGACAACAACACCTTCAAACTAGTCAGAAAAGTGTGTTAGTCAAATACAATCACGGTTATACTTCAAAAAAAGTGGAAATCTATTCCCTAAAGAGAGGTCTTTACCCTCCCCCACATAATCCATGTGGATTCCAGTGGACTCCAGTGGACTCCAGTGGATTCCAGTGCCCCAGTTGCTAGGCCAGATTGGCTTGCACAATGCCCAGTCCACTGGACTCTCACTGGACTAAGAGTCCAGTCAGAGTCCACTGGATTCCACTGGACTGCAGTGGAATCCAGCAGTCCAGTGAGTCCAGTCCATCATTACTTATGGATATTAATTACTACCAAAAAAGCGAAATTAGATTATACAAATGTAATGAGTTGTATAGAAGTAGACACAAGTGCTCGTTGCAATAATGATCAATGATTTTGTTTAGTCTGCAGGGTGTGGCACGTGATGTACTTGTGGTGTTCAAACATTGTCATACCGTCATGTTTGCTTTCTGCGGCATAGTCACATTTGCATGACCATCTCTTTCCCTTCCACCACCACCACCACCTGTCTCTTACCACCACCAACGTCCTGCAACCACCACCACTCTTGGCCATCGCCACCACTCTCAGCCACATCACCGAAGCAGCATGCCAAACAAAATGAACAAGGAAATGAGGGACTGTGCCCAGTCATGGGCGCCAGTGCCACGTCACTATCGGCGACATGACGACCAGATGATGAATGATGACAAGCGATGTTCGTCGTCCATAGGTGAGCAACCCAACTCCACCTGACCCACTTACCCACAGATGTCGACATGGCGCAAGAATGCTACAATGCAAACTGGCGATGACACATCGACAATGACCACAACATGTGCCAACAACCCCACAACAATGGCACCACAACCCTATGCAACAACTGCCACATGCGCAACGGCAACCCACGTCATGAGGCGAACAAAGACACACCAGGACGACGACACGACATGAGCACCCCCCACCACACACAAAAAACAACGAGCGCCCACAAAAACAATGAGCACCCACAAAAAAATGATGAGCACCCACCCGAAACACGACATGTGCCCACAAAAAACCACCAGTGCCCAGAGCGCCCGCCTCCACCTGACAGCATGCCAACACAGAACGGTGACAAGGGCCCAGCACCAGCACCTCTCCACTCCACTCTATCCCCCCTTCACTCCCTCCCCTCTATCCCCCCTTCCCCCTTCCTTACTCCCTCCCTTTCCCTTCCCCCTTCCTTGCTCCCTCCCCCCTCCATTCCTCTCTTCCCCCCTCCCTTTCCCTTTCTGATCACCACTCCCTCCCCCTTTCTTTCCCTCTCCCCTTTCTTTCCTTCTCCCCTTTCTTTTCCTCTCCCCTTTCTTTCCCTCTCCCCTTTCTTTCCCTCTCCCCTTTCTTTTCCTTCTTCTCCCTCCCTCTCTGTAACATAGAATCTAGTAAAACTAATTTATTTAATTAATAAATATACTTCAATTTTATTTTTTGTTTTAAAATCTAAGTTCAGGAATTCTGAATTAACTTATGTCTGTGGCAGTCCAGTCTAGTCCAGTTTTGTATTGGGAGAGTCCAGTGGAGTCCAGTTTTGTGATTTGCAGTCCAGTCCAGATTTGTGCTTGCAGTCCAGTGGAGTCCAGTTTTGTGGATATTGCCAGTATGTAGTGAAGTCCAGTGGAATCCAGTGGAATCCAGTGGAGTCCATGTGGATTATGTGGGGGATGGTAAAGTACTGCGAGCGACTTCTGGATGGAGGTAGCCAAGGCATTATGGACGAAGATGAGCTTGTCCTCCTCTCATCATCCTCAACACAATGGTTAGACAGAGGTGGTTAACAAGTTGCTCACCACTATGATACGCACTTTTATAGAAGGCAAGCAAGATCAGTGGTCAGTTTGGTTGCACTTGCTGGAATTCACATACAATAGTGCTGTCCACTCCTCAACAGGGACTACTCTGTTCCATCTGCTACTAGGCTTCCATCCTAGAACACCACTAGACTTCATAGGGACCAAGAGATCAGAAGAGATGGGGTCACATTCATTAAACCCAGAGGCAGCGACGTTCTTAGAAAATTTTGCTATGCACAGGGACAGCACGAGATTGGCTATCACTAAAGCTCAAGGTCAACAAGCTAAGTCTTTTAATAAGAACTGGAAGCTGATTCCCCACCTAGTGAAGGGTGACCATGTTCTAGTGAATCCACATGCGTTGGAGTGGATCGAATCTAAAGGAGAAGGCAAAAAGTTGGCTCAGAGATGGATCAGACCATTTGAAGTCATTCAACGCATCAACCCTAATGTCTACCATTTGCGGATGAGCAACCTATATCCTGGCTTACCAATATTCAACTATCAACACCTAAAAAAGTACAAAGACTCACCTCCAGAATACGGAGATCGCCACACCCTCCCTGAAACTAGAACCACTAAACCTGCTCAAGAAGAATATGAAGTAGAGCAAATCATAGCTGAAAGGCGCACCAAGAAAGGTCTTGAATATCTGGTCCACTGGGTGGGATACAGTCCACTTTATGACACTTGGGAACCTCGTTGAGCCTTGACAAACATGCCAGAAGTGGTCTCTAAGTGGAAGAGGACTCACGATAAGAGTTGGGTGTAGTAGATGGGATCGGACTTAAATTATTCACCAATCAGTTGACGACAACACATGTTATTGATTTTGTTTTCCTCCCCCTTGTTTCTTTGTTTCTTCTTTCCTTCTTCTCTTCCTTGTCTCACATCTTTTCTCTTGATTTTTCATTTTTGGACCAGTCAGCGATGGACTGCCTTTATACAGATGGCGATGGCAAGGTACTGACTTCAGGATGGCAGAAGATGATCGTGGGTGAATGGGTAGCTCTAAACATATCCGCAGGAAACATCCCCTCCTCCACAGTCTTCAAACAAGTGTTGGAAGATTGCGCCTTCCTTCTGCCTGAGCTAGCAGCACAGCCCACAAGCTGACTTGGATGAAGCAACCCAGATGGTACTCAGATAAGTATCACTGGGATGCCTGGAATGTTGTAGACTATTTTGCTGACAAGAACGATGCTATTCCGTAGTATTTTAGCAGCGGTAGCTCTCCATGGGAAAGCTCTGACAGAAAATTTCACTTCCATCCTGACTAGTGTTTGCAGGTCTGGTTCAGTTCGGTTTTTTGCCCTGAAAACAGGCAACCACAGACCGCAACTGGTCTAGGACCAACCCAGATATTGAAGGAACTGAACCAGACCACCTAGGACCGGTCTTTTGCGGTCCATGGACTGCATTCAAACCAATTCAGACCGGTTTTTTTGCGTAAAATTTGTTGTACCAATATAAACCATTTGTATCTCAATTATTATTACTATAAAAAATAAACTGGTTATATATCATAGTAAAACATATAAATACCCATCATTCCACCAATTCTTAAGAAGTTTAATGAAGGTTTGACATAGCTATGACTGAAACTGAATTACATCTCCTAAAGACTCAGGCAAAATGTAATGTGGCAACTGTAAATTACTTTTGTCGGTTGAACAGGGGCCACAGGGGATCATGGGAACACCTTAACCAAGTAGTCCCAGCCATGTTGACTCACTTACACTCCAAGATCATTGACAGCTTTCCCGTGGACTGGAACAAATGTCGTTTGGCAGATATCGAATTACCCAAAGAGTACTGGCCATGTCAAATCAGGAATAGGGGGGCTCTGTAACAGGTAGGACTACAGGACGATCCCTCCATCCATCTTTACTATTATATTCCCAACTTAACACAGGCAAAGGCCTTTCGCTTCAATTGTCACATGGTCACAGTAGTCATGCTTGCTTACAATTTTCACAGTCACACCTGTAGTATCTTCATCTTCTTATTCATACTTCTTGCACTCGCTTGCAGCCTTCGGGCATCGTCTTCATGACTTGACTACATGCGTAACAGGGATATACTAACGAGGTCAGTAGCATAGTTATTTGTAGTAGGGAGCTTGTGACTCCCTTGAAGTTGAACCTTCTTCTTTCTTCCCCACTATCCGCAGATCATCTTTTCACACCTTTCTGCAGCCTTCCGGGAAAGGAGAGTACATTTACGCTTGTGGCATTCCAGAGCATAAGTAACTACTCACGTAAAGAGATTGATTCTCCATTCCAATTAGATTCTTGTTAGAAGTCTACACACCAGTGTAGCAACCTTTATCTAGAAGTTTGCCAGATTCACTTTGTCATTGTTACTTGGACCACATGAATCAGCGTCTCTCCTTTAACAGGTTCCTACACTACAGCTATGTCCAAACCTGGACAGTGAGACAACTCAATACTGTTCTCTCTGTACCAGGTATGATATCTCTAACTACTTAAACTCAATGCTGTTCTCACCATGCCAGATATTATAAATACATGTGTTTAAGAATAGCTGTTTGAGATTCTCAAAACATGTAATGAGCAATGTTGCTTGGAAAGTTTGAGTAGACCCATGTTGGATATGAATGTACAAAGATACATTTGGAATAGAGTGAGTCAGATCTATTGTACATCCTACTGAAAATCCATAATAAGAATCTATAATATGAGAAATTTTGGAATATTTCAATACCTTTCTCCAAGGGGGTCTTAGGATTCCAAACTCCAACCAAGGGTTGGGTAGATAGGTCAGCCGCTGGGGGAGAAAAAAAAAATTTGGAACCCTCTATAAAATGGTCTTAGGATGGCCACTGGGGGTCATTTCCAGCCTCTAAAATGCTCCCAGAGTTGTGCATCAGCTGTATTCAGCTATATGTAAGCATTGTGCTGTACCATTTTGATTCATTCAGCTATCACACATTGATCATGCATCATACCCATTTTTTCTGACCTTGGAAATATTTTTTCTCTATTTTTCTGATCTTCTAAGATTTTGTGAAAATGTGACAAAGTCATATGAATTGGTAAAATAATGCAGTATAATGTCAATTTCAAGGCACCTTGCTAAAGGTCAGGTAAAACTACAAAGGCCAGATCACAGACATCAAGGACTGGGGTATTGTGCATACTATCACTGTTAATATATAGAAATCACCTACATTTCGTTTGTAACATTTTGGGTCAGTGAATTGTGAAGGGAGATAATGATCATGTGAATGATGTCATATTACCATATATAGACATGTGCCTGATTACGTAGGTAGGTAGGTCAAGCTGGTGACTGCTAAAAAAAAAAATCGACCCCAGGTATTTTTTTTGAATCCTAGGACCCCCTTGTTGCAGCTCCTTCTATCCCAGCTTGGGAACAAGGATATGCAGGCGGAAACATTGGCGGCCTCTTGGAGGCCATGGTCCGCCCCACCGGAGGATTCGGAAAGTTCCTCGCAGTGCTGCTGAGTCTTTCAGTGGCAGGCAACATCGCAGCAACATTTTACTCAATATCGCTGAACATCCAGATCTTTATTCCTCCCCTGGTTGTAGTTCCTCGATATGTATTCTCGCTAGTTGCTACAGCAATGTAAGTGCTTCCAATCACCTTCTTCACAGAAACTTACATTCTCTTCTCAGAGTGATACCAATATCGATCGTAGGAGCGCACAGGTTCTATGACACGATCACCAACTTCCTTGGGCTGATCGGGTACTGGGCCAGTGTGTTCATCGCTATTATCATTCTGGAGCTTCTTGTGATCCGACACAATGACCCTGCGGAATATGACCTTGATGACTGGGACGTACCAAGAAGGTTGCCTTCAGGCATCGCTGCTCTTGTTGCTGGGATAGCTTCGTTCGGACTTGTTATACCTTGTATGAGCCAGGTGTGGTTCACAGTAGTCTCTCCTAGACAGACTTTGATATATGTGAAGCTGTACCTTGGTTCACGATATATGAAGTCTGTTGTTTGTCGTGCCCCAAAAACTGCATCAGGAAATGTTTATGTAATCTTCGGACTCTGAAATCGCAGTCTGACCTCGTTGCGTCGATATTGGTCTGCTCCCTTCACACCCTGACGCGATTTTGACCATTATACATCCTGAACATTGATTTTTTGGCTTTCTGAATTACTTCAAACACCTGGTGAACACTAAATTATGACCAAACCCTGCTGGCAGGACCCTCTAGGGCTACAAACCATCAACACCATTGTAAAAAAGACTATACCACTGTGGACGCTGAGCAGGCTGCATACGATTCAGCTCAACCTCGTTTCAGCTATCCTTGATGGACAGGATGTTCTCTGCTGCACTGCAACTGGAGATGGGAAGTTGGCAGCCTTTTGTATTCTATGTCTCAGTCTTTCAGAGTACAATTAACACCCCGAGTCCACCCTGAGTCATATCCTGCCAATCTGCCCACCCGTCCAAGGCCAATTGGCATCATGGAGGTAATTGAGGTCGAGATTTAGTAGGCTCCATAAAATTACATACAATCGAATGTGGCCGTTGCTTCTTTACCACCACCACAGCACCAGTCTTGCGAGAGGCAGCCATACATTTCGTGAGATGCCAAGCAACAGGTGCGCGACTTTTGTATTTCTCCACTAGGTCCGCAATACTAAACCTCTCCAAAGCTTCCCAAGTGATGAGATTGACACTATCCATTGGACGCCGTCTGTTTGTCGAAGCTCAGAGATGAACACGCCCAAGTGAATAAAGAAGGACGTGTGTAAAAGATGTCAGCAGGAGAGACTGATGGTGAGAATGGAGCATGTGGTGAGCTCGGCGCTGGTGCACTGTGCTTGTGCTTATAGACAAGAGACTGACCTTGTTCCGCCCTTGTAGAAACCGAGCAACGGACTTGGCATGACATACACCTCTTGGATCAGGCTGTCCAGAGACGCGGCTCAGGTTGTAAAACAAGATCTTCAGCAATTCACTGACAGAGTCAAAGCCAGAGTCCTTGAGCAGTTGCTCCATCCGATCAAATTTTGATGCGAGTTTTGCGCTTTGTCTGGTGGACCTTGTACCAGTCATGGTTGACTCGAGGTTCCACTTGGACAACGAAGCTCATTGAAAGGAGAGCTGAGCAGAGGCAAAAACAGCTCAGGAGATGACGGTTCCCCTAGCTCACTCGGATGTGAAAGAAGGAGGGAAATTGAGGTAGGTGGCAGAAACTGTGCAACATAATGTGGAGCTTCCAGGACCTCAACCAGGGTGTTTTCTTGTAAGTTCAGATATTTCTGATGTTGTTTTCCATAATAATTGATGTTTCGAATAATAAAAACTTGAATTTGGATAGGAAGGGAGGACAGCGGTGCTGCAAACACATAAAAAGCTAAGAGGGAGCGTGCAGTTGTTGACGTGTTGTTGACGCGCCAGGGTTTCAAAGTCCGAAGATTACATAAACATTTCCTGACGCAGTTTTTGGGGCGCGAAGAAAACAGGACTAGGTTCACAGGCCCAATCGCCAAAACGACGGGGGATATCAGATTTGAGGTTGCCTTTGGAGTCAGTGCAGTACTATACCTTCCTTTTCGTCTGCTTGAGGTTAGAATACTGGGGCATGTGTGATATATATGTGCAAGACATGCCTGCACATATTCACCATCAATTTTAAGGGTTTTCAGCGAGATTTCGCAATTGCACATGGACGTCATGTTGTCAAAATGCTCCAAGTTGTCATGGACGAAAACATTTGTCCTTTTGTTACGGTGCAACATCACCCAATAAAGGTTGCCACTGGGTCTAACCTCATTGGCCCGCAGGCTCCGGAATGCATCAGCTTCATTCAATCTCATATACGAAAGATAAATACACAGTTGAACAACTGAAAAAGCTGAGTTCTCGTGCACGGCGCGGGCCAGCTCATAAACAAGGTGAAGGGCGGGATTCACGGCGAATCATAATGCCAGGCAGTGAAAAAAGCTTTTTTGCGCTTAGCAACTCTTTCAATTCTTCAGAACATGACCCCTGTACTGGTCATCCACTACTTTTGCCCACACATTCCATCGTCTTCCCGCCACCAATGGGTTCCCAGCCTAATGGCGTCTTCGAGTTGCCATCCGAACACTGTTCGTTCCTTGTCAAAAAGTTGTCCTAGTAGTAATTGGGCCCTGTCATATTTTGATGATTACGGCACAGGGCGGGTGGGCCATGGCTCCTAGGGGGCTGGGGTCAAAGACGGGGAGCGACTTGAATGGGGAGGGGATGTTCATGTCGTTTGCAATGTCGAATTTTGCTCCTTTCAGCTTCAAGTGGTTTTGCACACAACCATGTAAGTTGATTGGGTTGAAGATTTGATGAGTTCTGCTGCGGATGCTAGTAAGGAAGGACATTATGATCGTTTCTTGTCAGAGGGTACTATGTTTTTTGTGGTGGTTGGTGGGTTGTTGAGGAGGTTTGGTGATGATTTGTTGACTTTTGCCTAGTTTGTGGTGTTTTAGAGGTAGGGGTAGAGAGCGGCAAGGGCGAGAGGGAGGGAGAGGTTGAATACACAGCTGAGGTGC